CGTATTACTGAATATTTCATTAAATCCACCGATACAAAACGAAACACACCAATCAAATCAGACTTGATGGAGAAGCATTAGAAGATATGAAAACATTGACAATACATATCTAGGCAGCATGATCGTTAAACACTGTGGATCTGATTCAAATGTAAAGAGATTGAATTTAGAATTTTCAAACTGAACATCAAGACAATTATTCTATTGTATGGAGCGGAAACATGAAGAACTATGAAAACTATCATCTACAAGATTCAGGTGTTGTCTATAAAAGATACTGCAGATTGATTGCCTTGAAATCATCTTTAACAACCGACTGTGTGAGAGAAGAAACCAGACTTAGGGGGGAATAAGGACAAGTACTGGAGGACACACACCGAGGAGATCATCCAGCTGTATCACGAGGCAAACTCTCTTTTTCCTAAGAGTGAAGGGATGACAGATTGACCAAGGGATATACTGCGACCGGAATGAGAGACGATATGAAGAGAATGAATTCCAATCGGATAGAACTGTAAACGAACTTGGACGACAGAGTAGATTGGAGAATGCTGATAGGCGGTCTATGCTCCGTGAGAGGTAACAGGCATAAGTCAGTCAGTATGTAAGTAAGTAATTTCACATTATACTACAGAGAAATCATTAAAAATGATTCGATCATTTAAAATTCAGTATTGAACAATGTATATATATCTATCAAATATTCAAGAAAATGTTAACGAGTTATTTTTATTCACTTACAAGACATAATAATAAAAATGCAAATACACCAGTAACAATCAGTGGAATCTATGATCATTGATAAACAAAACAGAAATAATGAGATTTGTAGCAATTAAGTTTAAAGCAAAACACAAACAATTTCATTGAGATGCTTATTTGTGTATAGTTTAATTGAATATTGATTGAAATAACAAACGCATTGTTCTGTATCATTTCATTATATGATTATCGATCGATAAGATAATTGTGAATTGGAATCGATCAGGAAAATGATAAAACATGAATGAGTCATTGTTAGATCACCATTAAAAACCTGAAAGCACTGAAAGCTGGTCGATGAATCTTGAGAAAGGACTCATCAAAATTGTGCATGTAAGACTACCGTTAAACGCAGAATTCGAACTTGGAACTTTCGATTTTGTGCGCGAACGTTTACATTCCTGAACACTGATTGGCCATGCCACCGTGGTAATGACTAACTCTGATCAGTCTAATGATTTTGGTAGTTACTGCCTATATCCGACATGGTTGAATTCCACTGATCACCGGTCTCACAAAATCTTCGAGAATTTCTTCACGAATCTAGTCACTAGTGAAGACATTTTGTGATTTAGCATTATTGTTTAACGAGGGACGTTGTTTTGCACTGAAATGACGAGAGTTCAACTCTGTTGGGTATCAGTATTAACAACCGAAGACAATAGGTGAAGTAGCACGAAATCCGTAGACTGATCGGATTTATTCAATAACACCGTTGGATGTGGTCTAGCATTTAAGCGTTCACGAACAAGGCTGAAGACCCTGTGTTCAAGTAGCACGATTCATGGATTTACACTGCTGATAATTCCTATATCAGGATGACAGGCCAGTCTTTCAGTGCTTCCATGTGTCTTCTAATGATGGTGGTCAATCATACCAGAATGTATAATCAAACTGAAAAATTATAATGCAACTCAAAAAGAAATATGACTAACTACTTTATTGTATCTTAATATAAGGTGAATTAGTTGACCAATTCCCAACAAACTAACAATAATCAATGTAATAATCATGTTGATAATGTGATTTTGACTAATATCATATTGGAGAACAGTTGTAATGCATATAAGGAAGTTGAATACAATCACTGATAGAGCGAAAATCATATAAACAACATCGTCAGAGTATAAAGTTGCATCTGATGCGATTGCAATGGTTGAAAATAATGTCTGCAATGAGAATAAACAAAAAAAATATATAATAAAAATAATTAATGATGACAGTCTTAATCACAATCAAGATGAACAGTTGGTGATATTATACTACTTAAATACTCTGATGATAGTATAATGTGACAGGGAAAACAATTCCAAACATAAAATTTTAACAATTGTTTTGATGTAATGTAGTCTGTGTGTTAATTTTACTAAATATTAGAACATGCTGCAGCAAGGAATTGTTCGTGAGTCCTACCGATGAATTTATAACAATCGGTATGAAAAGAGGTGTTACAGTTACTTAAGAACAGTCCAAGCCTATTGTTTATGTTCGGATGAGAAATGTTTGCATTACGGGGTTGTGAAGATTGTTAAGTTACACATTTTTGAAACGATGAATTGATCAATGTTAGACCACCATTAGAAACCTGGAAGCACTTGACTGCCGTTTCGTCCTGGTATGGGACTCCTCAGCAGTGCGCATCCACGACTCCTGCACCCCGCAGTATACGAACGCAGGAACTTCTGAATTGTGGCGGAAGCCTAACCATCGGACCACTGAGCTGGTATCAGTTATTCAGTTATTCAGGAGACACATCAAGCAAACCCATATTCATCTGTCAATTGTGTGTGAATCAGAGAGATAAGTTGATCTAGTGTTATATACTTATGTCTGTTATCTCCAATGAAGCATAGGCCTTGGACTAACATTCTCCAACCTAATGTATTTTGGGTATCTCTTTTCAGTTCTGTAAAATTTTTGTTCATTCTTCTCATATTTGTCTCCGTTTCTTGGAGTAATATGTTCCTTGACCTTCCTCTTTTCTGTTGACATTGAGGTTGTCGATTGAGGGCTTGATTTGTGATGAAGTTGGTTGCTTTTCTAAATGTGTGTCTCATCCACTTCAACCGCTTCTTTAAATATATATATATATATATATATATATATATATATATATATATATATATATATATATATTACCATTTCTGTTACAAGTTGGAATGTCAAACACACACATATAAACATACACTTACCATCAGTAGTAGATACATTATGTTATAGGGCAGTTTACGTGATAACGCTGGAACGAACACCCATACCAATTGAAGAACTAAGTAGATAGCGCTGTGAATAGTATGGTTTAGAACTTTGATGAAAATAATAATAATTTTAGGACAAATGTAAAAATATTATCATTCACAATTTACGAATCGCATTTTGATATGATGAAGAAAATCAACATACATAGAGGGAAAAGTAGGGTTCTGCGATACAACACAACATGTGGCAACCTAATCACTCTTGATGCAGATTCTTTAGAGGATGTTAACACCTTTGCATATCTGGGCAGCATCATCAACAACCAAGGTGGATCCGATGAAGATGTGATGGGCGCGGATCAGCAAAGCAAGCGCTGCATTTCTACACTTGAAAAATATCTGGAACTTCAAACAAATATCAATCAACACCAAAATCAGGATTTTCAATACAAATGTGAAGACAGTTCTACTGTATGGAGCGGAAACATGGAGAACTACGAACGCCATCATCCAAAAGATACAAGTGTTTATTAACAGTTGTCTACGCAAAATACTTCTCATTTATTGGCCAGTGGATAGGACACACACAACTAAATGCACCAAACTGCGTCACAATATAAGCCCTCACATGGAACCCTCAAGGCAAAAGGAAAAGAGGAATGTCAACGTCTACATGACGCCGAGAAATAGAGAAAGACACTGGGAGAATGAACGAAAACTTCGAAGAAGTGGAAAGGGAAGGCCAGGTCAGGGTTGCTTGCAGTAAACTGGTCGGCTGCCTATGCTCATTTGGGGATAACATACGTAGTAAGTAAGTATGATGACAAAAATGCATAGCTAAGAATTCGGTGAATGCTATGGTATGTTGTTCATTGCTTTGAGAAAAACGATGCAGATCTTAGATATGGATAGGACAATGAAGTCTAGAAATATTTTCATGAAAGATGTTCTTCTGGTTAGCTTATATATTCATTACAAATTCTGTCCTCATTGCGTGAATTTTATTTATAATCTTTTCAACATCTGAATCTGTACTCAGTTTTCGGCCAGCCAAAATTGAATTCATAATTTTCAATACGAACGTCAAGACAGTTGTTCTGTTGTGTGGAACGCAAACTTGAAGAACTGCCACCGTCATCATCCACAAGATTCAGGTGTTGATTACCATATCAAGTGGATCCATTGGCCAGACATCATTAGTAACAACCTGTTGTGGCAGAGAACAAACCAACTTCCTCCAACTGAAGAAGAAATTGTGAAAACGTGGTTGAGGTGTATGGGACATACATTGTGGAATTACGCCCGATTAAGTATTGAGGCAATTACTAACTTAGAAACCTCAGGGATAAAGGAACAGAGGTCGATTGATCAACACACTTTGCCGAACACACTTAGAGATATATTTGAAAAGAATGAATAGCAATCGCGAATAGCCTGAATGAAAAGTGAACAACACAGTAGGTTGGCGAATGCTAGTAACAGGCGCAAGTAAGTAAGTAAGTAGGTAATTTGCAATTCACTTATTGCTTTGTGATCATTTATATCTGTGAATAGTCGGTTATTTTATTGGAAATTAATGTTATCTTCACTTGATATATTTGCATTAATAAATAATAGTTCGATTATCGATTATACGCTCATATTGTCTGTCGGTCGGTGGTTACATTTTCTAACAATTATTGCATAGGGATTACAAAACCATTTCACTCAGTGAAATATCCGTTTGACCTGACTTGAATATTCTATTAAAAATCAACGGAGTTCATCTTCACACAGAAATCAATATTATGTGAACTTGTGTAATGATACTGTTCTGTAACGAACAATTAATCAAATGTTCACTATGTATAATCATAATAAATATTATTGTTGGATATTGATCGTGAACAGTGTTATTTCCTTACGTTATTATCCATAAAATTAATTCATATCGTTTAATCCATTGACTGATCGCTGGACTAAAAATGAAATTTCAATTTCAGATTATTCAATAATCAGCAAAAACTAACAACAAGACATACATTTGAACAAATAAGTTTATTCCAGCAAAACTGATTGCCAATTGAAGAATACTAATTGAAAATACCTGTAAATGTAGTAGAATAGACAAGCATTATTTCAATTTATATATTGAAGACCAATGAAATCTAGAAAGTAAAAATGTATTATGGTAGATACTCGTTTGATATTGTGTGCATCTTTGTTTCAGTTGAAATGATACTATCATTCTGGAAATGGAGTTTTATGTTTTATATGAGAATTCAAATGTTTTGATAGTTTGATCAAGTGAAATTGTTTTTAAAACAATTAGTTCGAATTTAGATACTTTTTATAGAACAATCAGAGTATGTAGTTGCTTTAAAGATAGATGATACATTTGCGCTATAGATGTTTCAAACGAACCGATCACATATATACACTTATCAAGGTAGTTCAGATATATATCCATGATTCATCCAACGAACACGGTGAATGAGGTTGCGCAAGACTGCAGATTGATCAGAGCTAGACAATAACACCATTGAGTGCCGGCTCAGTGGTCAACAGGTTAAGCATTCGAAAGTTTTAAGTTCGATTCCTCGAGGTCTATAAAATAAAACTTCAAACTAATTACTTTAGATTATATGGCATTGTGTAACCATTCAGTAGGGAAAGAAAGATTTCATTAAAGAGATAATAATTTATTGTATTGCACAATTATCTAACCAGCAAAATCCTATTGTGGAATAGAACAAACCAAATCCCAGCAGAAGAAATCAGGAAGAAGCGCAATAGGTAGATAGGACACATATTACGGAAAGTAACCATCTACGTCACAAGCATAGACCCTAATTCAGAATCCTCAATATCAAAGGAAAATAGGGAAACCAAACAACACATCATACCGAGAATCAGAGAAAGATATGAAAAGAATGAACAGTGATTGGATAGAACTAGGAAGGAAGGTCGAGGACTGAGTACTTTGGAGAATGCTAGTTGGCAGCCTATGCTTCATTGGGTAAGTAAGTAAGTGCATAAGTAAGTAAGTAAGTAAGTAAGTGCATAAGTAAGTAAGTAAGTGCTTAAGTAAATAAGAAAGTAAGGAAGTAACTAAGTAATTAAGTAAGTAAGTAAGTAAGTAAGTAACTAAGTAAGTAAGTAAGTAGGTAAGTAAGCATCAACTGAATTTAAGTAATATAGTGAGGGAAATTCAACCAGCTTGTTCACTCATATGGATAGAGGAATGAAAATCTTAATCACTGATTCGTTCTTTATCGTATTCATTAGCAAACAGATGTAACAAATATAATTCTGTTTTTATTTTGATGCGTTTAAAATGTATGAATAAAATTCTGATGGAAATAAGTGTTAAGCACAAGAAATCAATAGCTCTGTTACGTAGACTGAAAGTATTATGACAATACGTGTCGTAAAATATATAGTGAGCACAGAAACGACAACTTAACATCCATGAACAAAATTCACTTAGCCAATCATGATTAGGCTTTACTAATAAGGATTAACGATTTGACCAGAGTATACTTTCATTTGTCTAAAAAAGATGAAATTTCTGATGCGAAGAAGGCTAGACAATTTAATTCTATTTCTGAAGATTGTTGAGTTTCATCATAAATTGATCATATATTGATCAATGTTGCTTCATCATTAAAATCTTGGAAGCGCTGGATGATGGCCGTTTCATCCTGGTCTAGGGCTCATCAACAGTATACGACTCCATGACTCCATCTCGAAAAAGTCAAATCAAGGACCTTCGATCTTGCTCGCTTGGGCTTCACCCATAGACCACTCATTCAAGGGGAGGAATGAATAACTTTAACCAGTCTACAGTCTTGATGAGTCCTTTACCAAGACAAAACGTCTTTCCAGTACTTCCACTTTTCTAAACAGTGATCTAACATTGATCGATTCATGGTTTGACTTTTGTTTGATACAAATCAATTTCTAGACAGTATTTTTTATAAGTACACATT